GGGAAAGGTGGAGCCCATCCCATCCCAGCATGTCTCTCGTCATGAAAAATTTGGAAGGCAGGCGGGGGAAAGTGTGCACGCAGTCCCCCACTACCACAAATTATGCAGTCGAATTTCCCGCATTTGGGGAAATCACAGGGGTCAGCATGCCCAGAGTGCAAGGGGTGCTTCCCCTGACAGGTAAGTAAGTCTTGAAAGCTTAAAGCCTCAAAGGCTTCTGTGTATTGTAGGTTGATACAACACTGAATGATGAATAGAACTATTTCAGCACCTGTAATTTATCTAGCTAATTAGTAAATGCAGGCTATAACTGGAAAACAAGAGCAAGCTTGTTTCTTTTTTAACTGCAAATGATTTAATTCGATATTCATTCTGGGATTCCAATGGTTGTGAGAAAACAAAATGTTACTGAAGAGAAGGATAAAGCCAGGTTTTGCAGAGGTTAAGAAACCAGGTTTTGCATAGTGATGTGCATTTGTTAAACCTTTTATCCTGAAATAAATCTACAGAATTTTATATAATAAAACTTGATTGTTTCAGTATTGCCATTATTGGACACTTCCTTTTCCTGTACGAAATGTAGTGAACTTGTAAGACAGTGTAGTGGGAGGTGAGAATTTCATACACATCCTACACAATATTCAGAGGAGTTTAGAATCTTTGCCATATGACAATTAAAACCTCTTTGCATCATGCCCACTTGGATGTTTGCGCTGTGAACCAGAATGATATATTTATAGACAGATGGCACAATTTCCATCCCAGGGATCATATCCAAATATTTACTATCTCCAATTCCATTTTAAAAAAACAAAACTCCTCAAAAGAAAATGTGCACCAAAATACAATAGCCATATTCCAAATTCTCAGTGATCTCTGGCAGGGATTTTAGTGACATGGCAGTTCAGTCTTCGTGCTACAGTTGTCTTTAATTAGTAACTCTCTAAAATGTCCTATTATTAAAGTACAGCTGAGGGTGCACAGAAAGGTGTTAAAATTTCCCCTACCTTTGAAAAATTGAAAAAAAAAATCTAATTTGATCTGTATATCTGGAAGTCCTGCTGAACACACACAAAAAAGGAGGAGGGGCAGGGAAGCACATAAACTTTTGTCATCAGTAGGAAGCAACTTTTGTAAAATAAAGTTTGAGTTGAACAGGTTTCAAGCCTGATTAAAATAGAATATACATTTTCCCCCATGGAGATAAGAAATATTTCTTGCCATCTTTTCTTTTCTGATTTTTGTGAGATATTTTTATAATAATCTGTTTTAATGTATTCAGTTAATGGGCCTACCACAGGCCTGGGTGTAATTTCTTACATTTATGGTCTCTGAATGTCACTGAGAGTACTATTTGTGGTGTTTTTACATTGCTGCTTTTCCACCATGAATGAAAATAAGGAAATGGTGCACCAGCTCATAAACTCACCAGTCAGATTACATGTATTTATTTAGATGTTTTTAAACTGACCAGATGTTTTTAAACTGACCTCTTTGTTGCTGCACTAGCAGCAGAATGGTAACTTTAAGTAACTTTTCAATCATTATGGCTCTTACCAGTATTTTGAGCTGTCCAGATTTATCTGCTCTCTCTCTTTCCCCTCAATCTACCTCTTTCTGTTCCTGGAACATTTTGTTTGGTCCGTTGCTCTTCCACAGGGTCCCTTGCAATGTAGTGGATGCCTTGTGGCTTCTTTACAGTACAGGGGATGAAAATGTCCAAAAAAAAATTAAATGGGGTACTTCAGCAGAAGTGATCATAATTTAGGTTAGAAATATCCACGCTAACTTCAAACTAGATAACTTGGGCACTGGAGGTAGTCTAACTACTACTACATCTCACTGACGTGGGTGGCATAGGGAAGTGTGCATTCCTCTTTGCTAATTCCATATTTTAAACTGTTTTAAAATGTATAAATAAAAAATACATCTTCCATGCAATTTTAGAAAATGTGGATAATGACATTTAATAAGACTATTTACAGGATGTTTTGCACAGCAAGTAGCAAAATACCTGCTGTTCATGTAAGTCAAACAGCTCCCATACAGTGCTTGAGAAGATGAGATGGGTGGGAATGGGAAGTATGTTTCAACCAATCTTTGGGGGTGGGGTCCAGGAAACAGGTTCCAGAAGCTCTTTTGGGGGTGGAGGGGATGGGGGGAAGAGGTGGTTAAAATGGTGAGGATAAGAAGGAAACATTCGAAATTTGAGACAGAGCTTTGGAATCTGACCATAAAAAACCAAAGTTTAGAGCTACAGCTAAATGAAGATGGGTCTATATGGAAGGCAATTTCAGAGCTTCAGACCCTCTTGAGGACCCAGCAAGACTGGACTGCTGAAAACCCACATGTCTGGGAAGTGAAGCGTCAAAGGTTTCTGAGCTCCTAGATACCAATTGTCCTGCCAGGTAGAGTGCCAAGGAACTAAGTTCCACCAGAACTTTATTGAAATCAAATGACTTCTGTAAAACATTCAAATTTTGACAAACTGCCAAATTTCAATTAAAACAGTGTTATTTAATATTTTTCTACAGCCAGCTCTAATTACTACCACAGATTAAAAAAGAACAGAAAACCATAAAAACCATATTGCTTGAAGTTAACACAACCAATGAATGAAACCAGTTACATTTGCTTCTGCTCTCAGATTTGCCCCTTGTTCTCTGATTTTTCTATCATTCACTATGCTTGGCATAGCTTCCTATTTCTTGTTCTTTTCCATTTCCTCCTACCACATGTATTTAGTCCATCAAATGATAATGGTTTTTATTAATATTTCCATGCAGAATGATACCTCAATAGTTCCACTGTGTTTGCTGTACTTTGTCTTATATAATGTACATCATCAACTTTTGAAAGAATTGGTTTTCAAATTCTCAGAAGTTTCTATAAATATATCATAGTTTAGGATGTGTGGGAGCTACTGTAAACATTTATACATATTTTCATACACACACTTTAAGAATAGTCATATGTAGTATTTAAATGGAAGCCATTTATGAATAAAGGATCATTTTAGAAGCAACTCTAATATTAAAACTATTTCACCTAGACATGGAAATAGTCTGTCCAGGTGAAAAAAAGAAAGAAAGAAAGCCCTCCTGTTAAAGCCTGAATTGTAAAAGAATGTATTACACCTTTGTAATCACTTGAAAGTACTTTGCATATAATCATGTATCTATATTTATTCTGTACACTTTGGACATGTGGACTGAGTTTTTATAAATGATCATTAAGTAACTGTATGCAGCACATAGTATAATCTTCCTTTCACTCAAAGTAAATCATAAAACTACAGCGCTGTAGATTTTCACTTTTGCATAAAGGCCATTTCCCATCTGAAAAAAAAAAATCTAACCCAAAATTCACTTTTAGATTTACTCTTGAGCCAGTGCATTACATTTTGGGAAATAATACATTAAATTATGGCTCCCGTTCACAAAACACTTTACAGTATACATGTGACCAACTCTGTCCTTATTCAGTAAAGTGCTTAAAGGGTGCATTTACATGTGTTATTAAGGCAACGTAATAAACTCTGATGCAATTTGTTCCAGAGAAAACTGCTCCCAGGCACAGTGTTTACACAAGTGCCACAGCACTTGGGGCTGGAGTGGAGCAGTCCTGGGCTGGCAGGAGGCCCAGAAGGTCAGCTGTGGGCTCCAGGTGGCAGAGCTGAGGTTGGGTGGGGCATGAGGGTGCTAAAGTGTGGAGCTAGGTGGCAGGCAGCCCCTGCATTTTAGCATCCTCCTGCCCCAACCAGCCCTTGTGACTGTCTATACATGCATTTTGGTGGAGTACATTACTCTGCTGTAGGATAGCACTGTTCCCAACAGTCCTATGGCATAGTTAATTAATTTACTGTACTCTTAATACTGGTGAACATGTAGATGTGTAGACTGTGTTGCTTTACTGTGGAGCTAATTAGTCAACTCCACTGTAAAGAGTATGTGTAGATGCACCCAAAGAGTTTTGTACAAGCATTGTACCAAGGTTAGGTTGATCTAAATGGCCATGCATGCAAGTGTTCAGAGGGCTTAGGTTGCCCTTAAAATGGTGTACACCATCTAAAGTTTGTTTACCTCAGAGTTGAACTAACTTTAGACTGGTCTGGGTTAGTGCAGTATAAAATGGATTAATCCAGCCTAACAAACACTTGTCAATGCCCCTGTACCCACTAACCCCTCCCACCCAGGACCTCCAGCTTTTCCTGGACTCGCCAACTTCACCCAGACCCCCCAGCTCTCCCAGTCCTTCTCCCACCCCGCACTTCCAAGGTACGTACCTCAAGCTGTCCTGGTTCAGATGTAGGCAATTTGTTCTTACCTAAAGTGGGTGCATCTACACAAAATGGTTTACAGTGGAATTGAATAATTAGCTCACAGTAAGGTGTCACTGTCTACACATGCACCCCTATTACACTGGAGCAAATTACCTCCACCATAGAATAGTACTGCTCAACACCAGTACTATTCTATGGTGGAGTTACTTATTCTGTGTAAATATCCATATGTAGACAATGAGCAGAGCTGGCTGGAACAGTTGTGCTGAGGACACCAGAGGGAGTGCATGTGCCCCCGGTGTCCTCTGACCCTTGAGGCAGCGGCAGCAGCAGCAGCAGCGATCTGCAGCTGAGGGACAGCTGCGGCAACGAGGAGGTAAGCTGGGGAAGGGGAAGGGGAAGGGGAAGGGGAAGGGAGTGAGTGGGGCCAGGTGCGGGCGATTGGGCAGGGGATTCTTTTCCCACCTGACCCCATTTAGCCGCGCTGGGCGGGAGCCGCAGTCCCGAGCCATGTGAACAGAGAGTGCAAACAGGCGCAGTCTTTAGGGGCGCGCCAGAGTTTGCACCGGGTTCCACGCAGGGAGGCGTGCAAAGGAGGCCGCAAGCAGTGGAAGAGCCAATGGCGGCAGCAGCAGCAGTCGTCTCCAGGTAAGTGAGTGGGGGTGACAGCATGGGAGTTGTCACGAGGAGTGCAGCTAGGGCTCCTGCCCCATGGCTGCCTCCTGGCC